CCCCCCCCAAAGCCTAAACAAACCACTGCTGAGGGGCAAATCTGAAATTGAACCGACTTCTTGGTTTCAATCGATACATCGAATCAATAGCGACGATCTTGTTAAAAATTCTGCTTGATTTTAATGTTGACGGCACACAGAAAACTAATCGCAGATCTTCCGGCTGATGTGCCGTTACAGTATAAATAATTTATTGGGCTTGTAAATGGAAGTTACTCTGGGAAGTGTTATCCAAGAACAGCAAGATTTCGAAAAATAATTACGTAAGCAAACTTCTTTTATAAATTTCGCTTACTCATTAAGATCTCTTCGTCAAGCCAGAAACTGACTTCGTAACTTCCATTATCCGGGTTAGAAGCGTAACCTAGGAATTTTCTAAGTCCCGGAAACAATAACAGAGCAGACCTGTGATACTCCAATGATTTTGTCCCACGGGTCACAAGTCCCTGCCTTGCTAACCAGGAATTACACCCCTGATCCTGACTGCAACATTAATAGAAGAATGACCTAAGGTCATTTAGCAATAATGTTCCTGGATCACATTTGCGTAACAAAGATTTACGTCACGTGGCGCGAAGAACACGTATATAACTTCACTGTACTCCAAAGAGTACATGTTTTCAAACTTGTTCTACGATACGATGCGATGAAATGAGATTAGCCACTGTCTCTCGTCCTGCCTGATGACCAGAATTCAGCCGAATTTGGGCCCATCTGAGGGGAAACTTGAGGGCACCTGAAGCCAGAGTTACAGGCACAAAAATCGTGCGTGTTGCAGTACTTCCCAGGAGCAACGCACTTCGAAAGAGCGCGTATTTGCAAAGGATCGTAAGCGAGGATTTAGATTTTTCAGGAGCACATTCTTCATTCTTGGGAGGGGGGGGGTTAAATTATATTTGTGGACTCTTTATCCAAGGGTTTCCCGCAAATCTGACACCCCTACTTGTCACCCCGAGACAGTGCGCAGGGCTGTGCTAATATTCGCAGAGATCTGAGCTATTTTTGCGATATCACGCAGTCATGCAGCACTTGGTTGCCGACGGTTCAGAGGAACCTACCGCCTCAATCTCAGATCAGCTGACGACGAGTCAGTGCCGATTCGATGCTCCATTGTTTTCTATGTTCGCGATGGTTCCCGATTCCTCTTTGACCTATGACCCGTGGAATTGCTATAGAATTACCATGGTCGTCGTAATTATTTCCGCATGCAGAACTGCAATATTTTGCTTTATTTTCAAACTAATTAAAACTGAAACGAGAATTTCACCTACGAATCGCCCTCCGCCAATACATAATTGTGGCTTGATTCTGTTACCGTGACAGGGAGCTGGCTGGCTGGCTGATTTCATAAATAAATTCATGTTAATAAAAAATGGACTGGGCTGGACCAATCGAATGGGATATAATAGGATGGGTGCAGGGACCGCTGTGCTCTCTGTTTTTCTTTCCCCACTCACTCATTAAAGTTGTTAATTAAAATTGCATGAGCACCAGGCCGGCTGTTTTATGTAGTCGCATATATTGTGTGTGTATGTGTCGGTCGAAACTTTATGCCACAATTCACAGCAACACAATCTCACATCTGTCCATTCTAAAAAAAAAAATCTTCATGCATCAAGTATTACGATAACTTTATGGCTAATATAACGGTGTTAGTATAAACACAATCATCGGACTAGTTCCTACAAAAATTTTGGTATTTTTCAGTCCTTCCAGATATTTTGTGAACGCCTTGTAGCTTTAAAAGTAGTTTGTAACCATCAATGTATCGATACTGTCAATACTATGAATACTTGGGTAATTTAATTAAGTTTATAGAAATGTTATGTCATGTTCTTAAATGAAAATATTTCTTAAGCTCTTTGTTACAGTACCATTTCATATAAAATACAGTTCTACTCTTTTTCACATAATTTTCAAGAATTTAAACAAACCTAACAGCTTTCGAGACATTAGAACTCTCTACAAATTTCTAATATTAATCGATATCAATCAGGGTACGTTTACAACGGGGAAAATTTTTCAAATTATTTACACCAATCCGCAGTGTCATCTCTTGCCAGTTAACACCCGTAGGCCTGAAAACGTGCAAAAATTTGGTGAGCTTCGATTATTTCAGTTGCCATGTCCAACCCATTGCTAACATTGCTGTGTTTCGCAGGTGTGGTTTAAAAACCGAAGGGCAAAATGGCGGAAACAGAAACGAGAAGAACAGGAACGCATCCGGAAGTTACAGGAGGAACACGCAAACCGGAAGCCTCCAGAGGGCTGCAGCATGGACCCGGAAGTTACGTCACACATCCATCAACTGAGCGAAGCCGACGAATCTTCTGATCTGGAAGTCGCGTAATACCGACGCTCCTCGCCGCTGACTAATCCGTTCGACGACAGCACGGATCAAATCGAAATGACTGCAATTCGTCGTAAAATAAACTGAAGTTTAAATGTCCGTGTGTCAAATATTAAACTAACCGCGCGTGCGTTGACAGGGTGATTCTTTATCCAAGTTCCGTTCATAAACAAGTACACTTTCTTCTGTGTCAAGAATGTGATGCTATTAGTGAGAGAAGCTTCGATAATCCAGGGCGCGATGATGCAGAGACTAAGCGTCCAACACGCAAGCCTCTGTAATATTACCGCCAAGCCATAGGCGGTATATATTTATTCTTACGTGAAAAATTAACTACAGAAACATTATCGTTCCATATGAAATCAGGCTCTTCAAATGCCAGTGGTTTCATTTCACGATATTCGATTTCAAAAAACAGTTGTTAACAACACGATGTATCAACTACCAGACCGAGGACTTGTGAGGACGAGACAACAGAGATCAGCTACTACGTCTGGCTAGAGAGGGAAATTTCGCTTCGTAAGGGTGACGTCACTGGTAATGAAGATCCAAGAACTGACTTATACTGTGTTTGAGCTACGTGTGTCATAGGACGGAAGGGTTTGCGACTCCTAACATGTGTGGTAAAGTCGTATTTTTTTTTTGTTTGTATGAAATTTTTTTTAACGAAATATGGAGAAACATTCTTAACATCCTTTGCTTGGTTGAGGCAGTCTTACTCATAGCTAAATTCTATGTCAAATCTGTTTCCTTGTACTTGTTCTGGAAGGGGGGCGTAAAATTTATGAAATGTTTTAAGGGGGGGCGCAAGGTATAAAAGTTTTGGGAACCTCTGCCTTAGAGAAACAACGAAAGGCGAGCGTATGAGAAGGGGGTCACGTGGCCCACGGTCCGAGTTCGTACGACAGTTTTGTTTCTTGGTTAAAAGGTTCTACGAAATTCTTTTGTGCGCAGATGCGACTAATTTCGCCTCTAAAAAAAATAATCAGAGCTCAGAAAACTCAAGCCGTCAATAAATAAAATACATTTGTAACAAATTCCATATTTGTAGAGTCTGAAACGAACTGACCTGCAAAATGAAATTTGGACAAGTAATCACAAATCACATTGCGACTGCAGCCTCATCATTTATTTTCCCTTTTACTTACACCAAATTTCCCTCGAGGCTGTGATGAAGTTATCAAGAGAAAGCTAGAAAATGTGGCAACATGGTAACTGGAAACAAATGCTCGCAGCCCATAATATATTTTTTTTTTGGGGGGGGGGTTACCTTAAAGTTGTGAAAAAGATAAATTCACGTCGCTTGTTGTTCTATCGATCAGAAAACGGGTAATAAAATAATTTGGAAGTACATACATTCCAGTAAAGTATACAGAATCATTTTGACACACAATGAGAAAGAACGAGCCTGGGGCAAATATATTTCAGTAACGTAAATTCTGTGTACGAAATTTCCTTTTCTTAGATAATCCAGTGAACATTGTTTGAAACACCCTGTACCATTAAAACACACGTTGGGGAAGACGCAGATTACAGCCATCAGCTCACAATCTCGACTAGAGCAAATTCGTTTTAACTCTAAGCTGAATCGTGAATTCGAGGTATCGACTTTCATGATAAGATAGTATAAATCGATTTTCATGTTCCGTCATGTGAACGTGTCTGTGTTTTTTTTTTGTGTATAGTTTGTAAATAGTTTATAAAAATATGGTTCTATTATTAAATGCGTTTCAGCAACCAAATAAATTAAATGTCTCTGTGCTTTATCTGAACTAACATTATTCTTTAACAGCTTTCGGGATTTAAAATGGTAAGAATTTTATATCATCAGTCGATTTCTGAGGGAACTGATGATAGAAATTCCCGTAAGCTATTTCTGTCATTACTGAGATCATGTAACCTTCGCTTTGTACACAGCAAATGTGCGAGGCAAGACAAAGACAATGTTACAGAATCCGCAGACGATTTCGAAACCACGCAAAGCCATCGATTCAGTCAACACGACACCAGTTTCTCTTCGTAGTAACATTCTCGTTAATGTAACCAGACCTCATTCTCGTTTCGAAAATTGTAGATCTTCATACTCATCTAAAAGTCTGAACACCTTTAGTAACAAAACCCAACAAGGGACACGAACCCCTGTACTTCCGCTCGCCTCAAAATTAACCTCTTTACTAACGTTAAATACAACTTCTTCCCGATAGCTCCTTTCTGAGGCTGTAGACACATTCACAGTCTGTTGCGAGAATTCCAGTAGGTTTACAATATTTAATAAAGTTTTATATGTGCATAAAGAACGCCTTACCAAATTAAAAACTATTACTGTATAAATGAAGAAATCTTTCTCTGAATCCAATTAAAATAACTCCTTAAAATTCGATGTTTCTTAGATATTCAAGACTGTTATTAGGTGTGATTTCATGTAGTAGCGGAGACGATTATGAACATATGGCTGCCATGTGGGATGTTAAGTCAGGTAGACAGTGACCGACGTTTCAGAAAACCTTATTTCCGCCATTGTTCTGAAATATCCCTCAGTATTTAATATAGTAGACTGCACGGTCCAACATCCCCACAACTCAAGCATACGAAATGTTTTAAACAGAAAATCCGGATGGGACGCAGGGTACCTAGTGTCAATTTTAGTTAATGTAACGGTAGGTAGATGGCTCTCAAATACTGTACTGATTAGGTATTTTCATTCTCGTCTTAATACCTTTAGGGGTAAAATGTCCGATTTATATTAATGAAGTTAAAGCAGTATCAAGCCGTTAATTTAATATTATATGAACAGGACCAGTACAGCAGTGAAACTGCTATAACTGGAAGTTCTTAATAAAATTAATTAAACACGTACGTAAATTCATTAATTAAAACAAACCTTCCTTCGAAGACAATGTAAAAATTGAGAAATTTTTATAAGATGATCGAGTTAAACATCTTTCGTTCCTAATTTTAAGGCACATTTTCCTCGTCCTCCCCCTGCTAGTAATAAATTCCATTCTTTACTATTATCCGTTTTATTATATCTAATAGAACCACGTTTCGAAAACTCCAGATTTAAATATTTACAGAAGACAAAGGCTACTGACAAATTATCTCGGCAGAAAGTTCGACACCCCTCCCTCGTATCCTGGAGGTTCTGGGTTCAAATCTACTCCGGGAGGCCAACTATTTTTATCGAGGATTTTGCTTCCTTCCAGATTCTTTCTAATTTACTAAAGATTCGACGCTGACTAACATGAGCTAATGACGTACTCGAATAAAACAGTTCCACAGCATCCGAGTTGTGTCTGTCCACATTATATTACGTCAGCGGATTCTGTAATGCACAGATCTCACTGTAACAACGTTAACTGCTGTTAACTTACCCAGTTCGGGCATTTCTTTTGAACTGCGTGCTTATGTGTATTCGAAGTTGATACGTGTAACTCAACTGTACTAATATAAATACATATTTGATTTGTTACTGTAAAATGAATCATTATTTTACCACTTAATACAAAAAAAATCCCTTTTCTTGATTGATCTGGAAAATATAACTATAAAGAACTACGCCTAACCTTTCATTTCTCTACAACAAGACTTTAACGAGCATTCTGTAATTATTTCTTCTATACGTTTAGGCTTCCAAACATTGCAAAACGATTCTTAAAATATTTTCAAACTATTTCCATGTAGTTTATAACCTGTATGCAGTATATACAAGCATATCAGCTCAAAGGCCTACTCCATTCTACATAAATTTGTGTCAGCCTACGCCCGGGTAAAAATTGAACAATTCCAAGAAGCAACCTGTTCAATAATTTCCCTGCCTTTTATTACACGAAGTTTCATAACAGATCACACAACATCAAGCCA